GTTGCGGGGATCTGGGGGATTTAGGGGGTTTTAGGGTTTAGGGGTTGAGGGGATTTAGGGGATTTAAGGGATTTAGGGGATTTAGGGGTTTAGGTGATTTAGGGGATTTGGGGTTTTAGGGTTTAGGGGGATTTACGGGATTTAGGGGTTAGGGTTTAGGGGATTTAGGGGTTTAGGGCTTAGGGGATTTAGGGGGCTTTAGGCTTTTTAAAGGTAAACCGGCTCGGGGATTTAGGGGTTTCGGCGCTCACACTCGGACAATCCAGGCGAGGCATATGCTTCGAGGTCTGTTGGGTGAAACGAATCTAGTGGGAATGTCAAAGCATCAAGGGGTTTAGGGTTTAGGTCTTTTAGTGGTAAACCGGCTTGGGGATTTGGGGGTTTGGAGTTTTTTGAAGGGTAATATTGGTAGTTAATCACGCCCCTAGAAGACATTAAGCCTTTCATGCTCCGAAAACACATCCCGCCTCTATTCCTCGAGTTTCAGTTGCTGTGTAGCATCATATGTGCAGGTTAATGTAAGGGCCTTGATTAATTGGAATAGGGCTTTGGGGCCCAGTATAGTATCTGTAACAAGGAACCCCCAAAATAGTATTGGTATTTATCGAGGCCCCTATTTTAACTCTGACGGTTAAGGCGGACTGTCTCAAGGCTCTTTGCTTTTGTAGCTCCGTGGCCCGTGCGTCTATAACTTCAATACTAGAATAAGCTGCCCCGCAGCTTCCAAAGGTTCCGGCTGTGGCGCCTGCACAGTGATCCTCTCATACGTAGCCTGGTGGTTTCACAAAAGAGAAAACCTTGTGCCCGGCAAAAACCTGAAACAGTAGTATCCTGACCACAAGGACGCCTAAGCTCTAGATAGCAGGATGCCTTTGTAGGAAGTAAAACGACTTCTCTCTGTGTGCCACCTCCTGTTTCCATCCTGGCATGCCAATACGGTTGTTCGGATTGTATGTAGGAAGGGGTCGACTGAGCTGCTTTGAGGAAGAAAAGAAGGCGGTATGTTGTTTATGGACCATGCATATGAGGAGGCCCAACCCGCGAGAAATACACATAACCCCTAAAACCCCCACAGCCCTACAACGAAGTCTACATCGACAGTACATAGACTGTAGACCCTAAAGCACTTTTTGCAACAGGGCTTGGGGACTAGCCAGATTCTTGCATCAGCGGCTCAAATCCCTAAACCCTTAACTAACCCTAAACCACCGCGAGAACCCTAAACCCTCAAAATCCTAAGAGCCCGTCCTGCAAGATCCGAGCACTTTCCAGGCCTCAGTTTCGTTGGAAAGGAGCCCACACGGCTCAGGAGCCCTTGTGGCTTGTTCGCTTTCTTTTTCCTTCTTACTTAGCAAGGACGAAGCCCGCATTGCAAGGTTTTTTTTCCCTCCTACCTAGCAAGGACGAAGCCCGCTGCAAGGTTTAGTGTTTAGGGCTTTTTCGGTTTAGGGCTTGGGGTTTCAGCAGTCGCAAACGGGCTTGGGGTTTAGGGGCTTGGGGTGTGGAGATTAGGCCTTAAGAATCGGAGACATGTTTTGGGATAGGTTATGCATTTCAGTGCAGATGGGACATGACGGGACTATCGGGGGACACTGGGACTGGGGCTTACTTGCTCAGCTTCCTAGGCAAACTACAGTTGAGGCTAAAGGTTGCTTTACTCTTCCATTAGACTAAGAGGTGCTCTTACGGGGGTCGGGGTATCCGGAATTGGGGGGTCGTAGGGACTTGGGGAGCTTGGGGTTTGGACTCTCGCAACTTGGAACTCCTTTTCTTTAAGGGCTCCTTTTCGAACCGCAGAGTGCCTATCGAAAGCCCGTTTGGGCGAGCATCCGGTGCCGCAGCTTAGCACCAAGGTCTTCGGGTTTGGTATATGCACTCGCAACTCGGACTGCGCCAGACAAGGTCGCTCGGTTCAGAAGTGAGTTGACTCCATGGCCTGGCATCCACATCGTGGTCATCCAGAAACTCGAGGATGGAGACGAACTCCCTGTTGTGCGAGACATGGATCTTAATGTCTGCCGCCGACCTGATGATTTTATGATTGGGAAATTTGCTGCACTCCGGCATGTATCCCTGCTCGGGAAGTGATTTTATGGCTGGCGCCATAGCCAACAGGGGCGTTTTGACCTTGATGCCCTCAACGCCTCTCAGTGCGAACACTTGAGGTGGCGGTCCTCTGAATGCTGGTCGACGTGCGCTTTCGGCGGTACACAAAACTCTCCTACGTCACGTGGTCCAACAATGCCACCAGCTTTTTGAAGTCTCCAGCAGACATCGACGCCACTCCCATTTTGATTGCTTCCACGACAAGCGATCCAAATCCCCGCAACATCTTGGTTTCGGGTGAATAGGGAGCATGGTTCATTAAATCATATCAACTCAGTTCAGGAAATTAAGTAATACATCTCTGAGCTTTGGAAAGCGACCATAGAGAGCCGCCGTTTTTGGCCCGAAGACTGACGAGGAACTCGCCTCCAGAAGGAGAAGTGACCGCCATAACCTTTCCCATGAGAGTGTCGAAAGCTTCCATCGGTAACCCTGGAAGAGGACAGAGTGACGAATCCCATTTTCTTATCGCAGCTCAGCTCTACGAAAAACCGAGTCTGCAGTTGCTCTCCTTGGTCCCCCGGCCGACGCCTCAAGGGCCTGCGGCATCTACGGATGCAAGGGTCGGACCACAGAGACTGAAATATCTCCTAAACAATTTTTTCCTTTAAATCAGATATTAGGGATCCTACGCTCATTTAAATATTCCTTTAAAAACTAAAAATGTTCGGCATCCTAAAATTTAAGGTATATTGCTTAATTAATGGATATTGGAAGCTCTGGGACACTGTGTTCGGTCCTAGAAGAGACTGTGAGGTTGAGCACAACAGCTACTGTAACTAAGGGTACCATACGACTTTCGACTTTCACGGATACTACTACAAGGGAGGGTTGTTGTAGGGTTCAAGGTTTAAGGCCTGTACCCAAACCCTGAAACGCCGGCCAGCTTTGCTGGAAGATGCAACCAGCAGACTGGCAACAGCTCTACGCTTAATTGAAAAAGTGCGTCTCCTGATATTGCCCATCATGTGCGGAGATATGCAGTTGCAGTGGTTGGTGTAGTAGCTGTTGCGTTTCTCTACATGCGCCCGGTGATGCAGCTTCATGATTGCTGCATTTTTTGTTTTCTCCCCAGCCATATCTATCATGACTGCCTTTGCCATGTTGAGCGTTATCTTCTGAAACGTCTCACTGCTGCTCCTCTTGAGCAGTTCATGTTGCCACGGGTAGTCTAAGCGTCAAGACCCTAAACCCTAAACCGACGACCACAGAATCAAACTCTTTGCTGCGGCCTTCACCCGCTGAGCGGCCTGCGGGGACAGAGTGTCAGTCTCGGAAGCAACCCCAAGGGTCCTAAGTACCTACACGGTTTAAGGTTTAGGGTTCAGGGCAAGGGTCCTAAGTACCTACAGTGGGCTGTAGGGTTCTTATGATAGGAGTTTCTAGTTACTGTTATGGTTTGAGCAAGTATCCCCCATGTAGGTACTTAGGAGCCTTTGGGTAAGGCCTCTGATGCCATGTCTCGGTCTCAGTGAAGCTTCAGCATTAGAGACCTCATGCTAAGCATGGTCTTGTCTAAGCGATTTGTAGGCCCCGTAAGCTCGAAGATTCAGAACGTAGGCGTGGAAGTGTCGGCGGTAGGATTTAGAGGTCCGACAGCTCCAGGGGGTATCTTCGCCTGAAGTCAAGCTGAACAAGTGCAAGCTTCAGTATGTCGCGTTTCTGTCAGCCGAACCTGGAAGGTTGAAGTTTCACATGGCTTGCTTCCTAAACCCTGACTTCTAGATTCTAGGCCATAAACCTATACACGCGACCCCAAAACCGTAAAGCTTGAAACCCTGCAGACTTGCCTCCCTCAGACCAAAGACCATTCACCTCAACTACGAAGTTGTCTTTAACTCATGATAAGGAACCCCTTCTACATTCTACATGTTTGGTGCTGCATGTTCTAAGGACTAGTAGGAAGTTATCCAGGTTTCTTTATCGGTGTTTGATGCGTCGTTAGACTTGCTGGGTACCGCTCTACATCTTCAACCGATACACGGCAGACCCGAGCGAATCTATGCCTGTAGCCTGTCGCGAGAACTTGTGCGGGTGAGCTGCACGAAAACACTCAGCCAAATTCCGGCGCAAGTGTGGCTTCGCAAAGTGCGCCAGGCCGTTCGCATGTCCCTTGTTCGGTTCTGCAGACGGTTCGGGGCCGCTTAGTTCCAGGCTAGAAAGTGACAGGTGGGGACTTCCTGTCTGAAAATCCAAGGGTCAAAGGAGGGACCCTTAATAAGGACCCCTAGGTATATACCCTTACTATAGCTATTAAATACACATTATGTAGCCCCATTATAGGGTAGGGGTCCCCATTAAGGGCTCCTTTCCCCCTTTGAGACAAGGCTGCAAAGCGTCGAGCGTCCGCACACGAACCTCGAGGCTTGCTGACCAACAGGCATTGCAGCGTTGCTACTTGTGGTCTAGACTGTGGCTCCTTTTGCGAGATATAGGACAGAATATATACTGCTTTCTGCGAGGGTCTGCTGTAGCGATTATATCAGAACAGCTGTTACTTTTTCGAAGGGCGGCTAAACCCTCCAATCCTGTGGACACCCAACGCTCCTCAATTGAGCTAAGCCTCCAAACTCCAAAACAAAACACTCAAGATCCTAAACCCAACAAGTGCTAAACCCGTACACCCGAAAACCCCTACTTAAAGGATCATGGGACTTAGTAATTGGGGTTATAAGGAAGGTAACTATAGTTATAGTTACTTTTTACCCAAATAAGGTTCTTATAACCCTACTTACTACGGTTGATGATATAAATCCTGCATGACCCATAATAGGGAATATACCATAATTCCCATAGCTTAGGGTCCTTAAGGTCATGCAGGATTTATATCATCAACCGTATGTCCCATGATCTTCCAAGTGCAAGTCCTAAGGTCCGTAGCCAAAACGCCGTGCCTGCTGCTCGCCTCTCGGGCCTCTTCTTATCGAAGAACTACCCATAGGCCCCATAGTAGCTCGTTTTGGGGGCTCATATGTAGAATCAAATAAGGTAATCCCAGAAAGGAACTACTATGGGGCCTATGGGTACGGTGAAGTTGCAGAAAGGGTTTTGGGGTTTAGAACTCTAGTCCTTACAGGGTTTAGATGGTTACAGGATGTTCGAATATAGGGAAGGCCCTTTTAGGGATGTTCAATGGGTAGGGTATTTCTGTTCAGGCCGAATGCTCAAACTCTTTCGACTATAGGGTCTATGTAGGGCGAAAGGCAGTAGTGCCAGGATTCCCTTGCTTCACCTGAAAGGCATCAAGACCATGATGTTCCAACTTCCTGCTAGAGGCTGGGGCTGACACGGTTTACGGCTTGAGGGTTAAACGTGTCCAGGTTCAGGGATAAGCCCTTGCAAAGGCATTAATTTTGGAACGCGTGGTAAGCTCCACTTTGCCCTGAGCAGATGCAGCCAACGTTCCCAAATGAAGCTCCGGGCTACGGGTCTCGTCTTAAGAGCGTTCAAGCTTGGGTGGAACCCCAGTCCTGACCCAGACCCTGATCCTAAGCCCGTTAGGGAGTTTGTGTAATAACAGGGGATCCCTGGATGGTATCTGACCATAGGCTTAAACCAATCGAGGAACATCTTCAAACTGACATGGCCCTCGGTTGATGGCTGTCAAACGATCAAGTCCGACCTCGACCCAAGTTCGCCGAAAGCCGGTTAGGGTTCAGGGGTTCCCTTTTGAAACCTGACTTGATGACTGCCAGCATTGCCTCCTCCGCTGTTCGTCAGCCGAGGCCCGAAAACTTCAACACGGTATCACTCCACTCTCGAGGATAGGCACTCCAAGTAACAACCACGAACCCCTAAACCCGGAAACCCAAAACCCTAAAGTTTAGGGGTTTAGGGAGTTGTGTCACCACCCAAGCGTCAGGCTGTTTGAAAACGGAGACCCTGAGGACGAGGATCGTGACCTTCGCATCGACATGGACGAGCTTTTCTTCGAGTGTTGGATATGTGAGTTTCCCGAAATTAGGGGTCGCTTATTTTGGGATCCTTCTCATCAGGATCCTATGTTCCCCACAATAATTGTGCGTGATTCGGGTTTTGCACATCTCAAGTTCGTGCCTTCCACGGAAGCCAGAATCTCGGGTCTTAGGGCTTACTTGGAGGGGCAGGGGACTTAGTAAGTAGGTTATAAGTAGAGTTATAAGTACCCTAAATGGAGTTACCCCAATTATAACCCTACTTATAACCTACTTACTAAGTCCCCTGCCCTTCCAAGTAGTGTTAGCCCCTCAATCAAGAGGCAGTGCCGAAGGCTGAGGCACGGTCGGGTCTGCTGCGCCCGCAACGCCAGATGCAGATGATGGCACCTAGGGTTTATAGGGTTCAGGGTTTAGGAGACATGATCACCAATCCTGCATTTCAGCGTCTCATCCATGTGTAGGGATCAAGCAGATGACGGTGAAACGGCGAAAAGTGGCACTGACTCTTGTAAATGCCGGAACTCTGATATTGTACGATTATTGGAGCAGTAAGAACAGCTCTTCCCGGAGCTTGAGGACGCGTGGGCCCTTTGGCTCCTCGCTGAATACTCAAGGTTTTTGCTGAAGTGAAACTGAATGGAAAGTGATTGGAGGGGTGTTCGGTTCATGTGCCCTGAAACTTTCCCTGCTCTCATGAGTCAAACCCCAAACCTCTAACCCCTAATCCTTTCAAGCCTCAACCGGGCAGCTAAAATAAGCCTCGATCTGGCAGCACCCTCAATGGCAAAGGGAAGGAGTCGAAGGAGAGATCTTGTTTTCAAAAATGGGCCCTGAGCCCTGTTCCTACAAATTCTACATACATCTTGCGGGTCGCAGATTTGGCAACTTCGTGTGACCTCGCACTTTTCTGCGGGACGCCGAACACTAAACAGCAGCCTGCCTTCAGCGCTGCGTCCGCTGATGGAGCACCAGCAAGCGCCCTTGGCAAAAGCTGTGCATAAGGAACCATATGACATCGGTTTTGGCCAGGGAAGGGAGTTGGTGCAGAATGATACAAGATGATGGGTCGTTCAGGCTTCATAAGTCAGTGTCACTCTGTGGATAACCTGATTCTCACAAATGATTCTTGCTATGACAGTGACAAAAGTATGCTCCCTCATGCCGTTATGACTAACCGTTAGCTTAACTCTATCGCTATCGTTCCGGATACGACGGTTTTAAAGCAGCAGCAGCAGTAGCAGTAGTATTCGTCGTCGCGGTCCTTGTCCTCCTCAATGCAGCGGGAACAACAGCTGCGGTTGTGTTGGCAGTAGCAGCAGTAATATCGAAGTGGCACACATATGCCTCAACAGTAGGGGTTCTGGGGGTTTACTACACTATAACTATAAAACGAACCACCAGACCCCTACTCTAATTATTAAGGCCCCTATAATAAAGCATCAGGTGGCGGCACTTTGGAGGTAGAGCTCGCGTAGCATGCAATCCAGTTGCAAGTTCCTCCACACAGACCGTAGCCCTGCTAGTAACCCATATAGCAAGTTATGGATCTTTACAGTCACCCGCGGAGTAACTTTCTTTCATAACAACCCTTTTCGCAAGGCTTATAGGGGTCCTTCTAATTACAACATCCTTTGCAAGAGCATGCAAGAACCCTCATGGCCATCCTTACAGTCGCCCTTACGGCATCCTTGACAGCAACCCGTGTCCCATCCTAACCCTTAGAGTATCACTGCCAAGAGACCCTAAAACCTAAACTCTCAATGTCCTTCTCAGCATGGGCTTGGAATGTGGGCCAGCGAACAACACGGCTTCAACTTTGTCCGAACCCTAGCCCTAAACCCTAAACCCTAAATCCTAAACCCTAGACTGTGCCGGCGGCTGGGGCAAACCGCGTGTTCTCCGACTCAAGCCTTCCTTGCGTTTCAGGGCAGAGGTTCAAGTTCTTTTGTGGTTCGGGGTTTAAGAGGTTTAGGACTGAAGGCTCGTCGGGCATAAGGTCGAGGAGGTTTAGGGTCCAGGTGTTTGTGCTTCAGAATATTTGGTTTAGGGGTCTTGGGCTTAAGGATTTAGGATTTCGTTTCGGATTTGGTGTGTCAGGGTCAGTGTTTCGGGGTTAGTGCTGTTGACACTTACACTCGGGCATGGCCAGGCAGGGTCTACAGAGGGCACAACCATGCCCAGCCATGAGTAGCCCGATTCGACTGCACCGTCGTCAGGTGAAGGATTTCACAAGGCAAACCACGTATAACAGACCAGTACGACCTACTTCAATGATGGCAGCGTCACCCTCACCACTGGACTCAGAACCCAAACTCTACTTGGTCTGCTCGTAATTCCTGTGAAGCGAAGGCTCATCCCGTGGGGTGAACTTTGTCTAAATACAGCATGCCGCAATTCATGTAGGGGCCTCAAAGATCAGAATAGGGTTTGGGGGCATATTATACTACGATACTATAGTTGTAATGTGGATCCCCCCCAAATCCTTTTCTAACTAGTAAGACCCCTACATTAGCCCTGCCAACTGTCAATCACCACCTGATGCTCCGCTGGATCCTCGTCTTCTCCAGACGTGCAAGTGAGAAGTGGCTTGTGCCATGTGATGCAGAACCATAATACTGTTAATGGTATAAATCCTGCAACACCCATAATAAGGAATATAATATACCATTATTCCCATAGTTTAAGGTCCTTAAGGCCATGCAGGATTCATATCATCAACCGTAGTAATATAGGGGCCGAATTACCAATACTGATACTATCTTGAGGGTTCCTTACTATCAAGATAGTATAATGTTCCCCAAAACCCTATTCTAAGTATTAAGATACTAATCATGTTTCACTCTGAATTCAGCATGTAGTTTTGGGACGCACTTCTCAGCGCCACAAGACGTGGCCAGAAGAACGACAGTCCGCCACAGAACAGAACAGAACAGAAGATACTAATCGGCTCGGGCCAGGGCCATGGCTAGCGCTTTCGGGATTTGGGGAATTTGCGAGGCTTGGAGCTATAGACGACAACTACCTGAAGGACGAAATGGCCCTTAAAAGTAGGGGCCCTATACCCATATTACTATGAATCCCTATATGGTATATGAACCTTAAACCCTTTTAGGGTCCATTTCGTCCTTCAGGTAATGATGTATTCCCATGCTCCGTAGCTGACCCCTTGCGCAGACGACGCATAATCCTTGCTTGGAGCATCGAGTGGTTTTTCTCCAGCGCTGAGGTGCCAAACCCTCCGGACCCCCTCCAGAAGCTGAAGGTGTGCATCAAACTTGGTCGGTGCAAAATCCTGGTCCTAAACCTTACATATAATCAATAACCCCAATAACCCAAGCCCTATCCTGCAAGACCAACGCTCGAACCATCAGCCTTTGCCCTATAGCGGGGTCCCGATATAGAAAGGCTCCTCAACTCAAGCGAATCTTCGAAGACCTCTTTGCGAGTAAACCCCAAGAGCCCCCCCCAAAAAGGGCATCTACTACCACTATGATTCAGAAGCCGCGACCTAAACCCGAGAGAACTACCACAAACCCGAAGCCCTAAACCCTGAAGCACTACCCATAGGCCACATAGTAGTTCCTTTTTGGGATTACCTTCTAGGATTCTGCATACAGTCGATGATATAAATCCTGCATTGCCTTAATGACCCTAGACTATGGGAATTATGGTATATTCCTTGTTATGTGTCATGCAGGATCTATATCATCAACCGTATGAGCCCCAAAAAGGAACTACTATGGGGCCTAGGGGTAGAGCTTGGGGCCGTTTCAACTACAGATGTATTCGGGAATCCTCACGAAACACATGGCTGCTTGTTACTCGGAATAGTACATCATCCCAAACCCGAAAGCCCGTTTACACCTGCCATAGAACCCTAAATATACTAAACCGTGAATATTCATTAAGGCCCCTAGATAAGCTTTATAACTATTCGAAATTTGTGTGTGCAAGCGTCCTGGAGCGGCCGGCGATCGCAGCCTGTTGGCTTCAGCGTTTCAGAGCGCAGGAATTGGCTGCGCAGGCATCACGGTTCCAGCATTTCAAGGTGGCTTTTCCCTCCTACCTAGCAAGGACGAGCCCACATTGCAGGGTGAACGCGGCTTAGGATCTGGGGTTCGTACTCTAGCATCTTGCTTCAGGAAGGCATGGCCTCTTGTCAGGCTTGTGATGGGTACTTCTGCCGCATGTACAGATGGAACTAAACACGGACAGATTCCCAAAAATAATGCCTGCGTGCACACTCTTCACTGTCCAACTAAGTTTCTTATCTACTGTAATCGATAAACCCGGTAAAGACTCTGCCACACACCTGTCATGTCTCTCGCTCACCTACTCAATCACTCATGCTGCTTCTCTTTTTCTCTGAGCATCAAGCCTTGGCCCCCAAACACCAATAACACAAGAAGAGATCCAGCGAACACTCCCCGCGGTGCCGTGCCGAGGCCCCGGCAGCACACTGCAGCCACGCCTTGCCCCATGTCGCTGTGAAACACCCTGCGCAGCAATGCACTTCGGGTCCGGGAGTCTGGCAGTTTAATTAAGATTGAGGGACAGTTTCAGAAGCAGGGTTTGAACTCGTAAGTTGATTGTAATTTCACGATTAGCCTGGCATGCCCATGCCCGCATGCCTCCCGCATGCTTCCCCCGAAGAGCACAATGCAGCCCGTGCGGTTTGTGGAACGACAGCACAGTCGAATACAAAAAGAACCCCACACTATAGACACAACATCCTCTTGCAACTTTCCTGTGCACCCGCATCGAGACTGAGGCTGCTCTCGAAGGTACGCTTGAAACCAGGGTTTTACTGTAACTAGCCGATAAGCTCTTGGCGCCTTCGGGTGCAGTCGGGCGAATGCGCCCAGCACGCTTGTCGAGCCAGAAATTCGGTTCAGGGCTTTCAAGTTCTCGAAACACCCACCTTTTGAAGGGCACACAGACAGACATACATACATGTGTATGCATGTATGTACATACACATATGTCGGTCTACTTATCTATCTATCTGTCGATCTATATACAGATGTAGAGAGAAGAGAGGGGAATCCTGACCTGAGACCCCGAAAGTTTAGGTAGGGTTTGAGGTATACGGTTGATAATAGAATCCAATAGAATCCTGCATTTCCCATAATAAGGAATATCCCATAATTCCCACAGTTTTGGGTCTTTAAGGTGATGCAGGATTTATATGGGAGTTTCCGAAAATAGGGGATCCTAATTTTAGTACCCTAAATAGTAGGATCCTTATTATAAAAAACCCCAAATTAGGTACCCCCTATTTTCGGAAACTCCCATATCATCAACAGTAGAGATTCGGATCTAAGGCCTGCTCGGCTTTGCACCCTATCCCTGGATGGTTTTAGGTTTAGGGGTTAGGGGTTTAGGGCTTAGGGGTTTAGGGTTTAGGGGTTTAGGGTTTAGGGGTTTGGGGTTTAGGGGTTTAGGGTTTAGGGGTTTGGGGTTTTGGGGTTTAGGGTTTTGGGGTTTAAGGTTTTGGGGTTTAGGGTGAATCACCTTGGATCCCTCACACCGGTACGCGCGACCCTTTATTGCGGCGGAATGCGCAGTGTGATGAATGTCGCCTTGGCCCTTTCGGGAATGCTGCCCGCAGGCTGGCAGGTGTCCTTCATTGTGCTCCTTCTGAAGTCATGACGATAAGCATGGTTCCCGACCTTCGGTGGCTGTTCATGCCTTGTGAAAAACTGGTTCCATTGCATCCTAACCTCCACTACCGAGCGAAGTTTGAACATGCTGTGTCTATCAGCCCAGGGTCGGCTATGATGCCAAACTTACAACCAAAGCTGAAACTGTCCACAGATTCAAGACTTCCAGTGTAGTACCAGCTACTCAGAGACGATCTCACCCTAAAGCCTGAAACCTTGATTGTAAGCTGCCTATACTGGAGCCCTCGCAAGGAATTCCTTGTCCTTGCACTGCACGAGGTCACCTCATCCAACCCTTCGCCGTACACTTCCGGAGCCGCAGCCGCAGTTCCACATCAAGTTTGATGTTGATAAAGAGCCTGGTCATAAGGTATCCTACTGCCCACTGCTCTCTGCTCTCTGAATCTCCGATAGCTTCTTCTTGCACTGACCCTGCCCTTGGAGCCCTCATTTCACCGATCCCATGGCCTTGAATCCGCTCAGGCACTCCTGTTTTCTTGTGCAGTATCCTGAGGGAACTAAAGGTCCCACAGGGATTGCAGTACAGAAGATAGGGTGGGAATTTAAGGTTACATAGGGATTATAGTACAGAAAGTTAGGGCTTAAAGGTGATCCTAAGTTATCTACTCTACTGCTAAGTCCTGTAATCCAGCGGCTAGCTGCATGCAGCTCTGGACACGTGCGGCTCGACGTTTCGTGGCAAAATGATACGTGACCCTCCGCTGCCGACCCTGTGAGGGCCGAAAGTTTAAAAGGCTAAGGCCTGACACTGCTTAGGGTAGGGTGTAGGGTTTAGGGGCTTAGGGTTTAGGTTCAGGACTCCGACATCAATAGGTTTAGGTTTCGCTTTTCTGTTTGTACCGTCCTTTCTCTGTCTGCAAGATCCGGGAGGCGGTTCAGGGTTTAGGGTTCATGACTCCTACAACACTTGAGAAGAAACCGACATGAAATCGCATGCTCATACACTGATTTGGTATGTAACCAACCTTGTCGTTCTCACTACACTTACCTCTTAATGTCAATAACAACAATAAAAACAACAACACTAATACATAGACTAGTATGTAATAATACTAAGAATCATAACATCACTTGTTGTTATGATTATTGTTATTACTCACTGTTCATGGGTATTATTCTTATTATCCTGGCATTTCGAAGCAGACGACAGCTCGGACAAGCTCCGATGTCCGAAGTCCAAAGCAATGTGTCCCTACCCAGAAACTTCAATATCTCTTAATTCAGGAATATACCTTAAATTAGAGTAGGATACCCAATATGATTTAGGAATATTCAGTAGTTAACGGATATTGGAGTCTCGGAGGATCAAGGGACCTAGTAAGGAAGGCTTTACGCACGTAGTTGGGGGAGTCATAAGACAGTGCAACTATAACCACAGGGACCTAGTCCGGAAGGCTTTAAGCGTGTAATTGGGAAATGTTAAGATCGTGTAACTATAAGTACAGGGACCTAGTAAGGAAGGTTTTAAGCATGTAACTGGGGGATAATAACATAGTGTAGCGACAACTAACACTCTTCCTTTCAACCCTGGTCTGTAGTCTCATGAACGTTTGCGGGCTGTCCTCGTGTTCGATGTTCACAAGATGCCGGATTTAGTCTTAACTTGCTTGCATGCTTGATTGTCCCGGTACTGTCTGGAAGCATTCCGACATAACTCGGTTGCGAGGTTTTCGCCTGCACATGTTGTTTGCCTAAGCCGATGTTTCATAGGGTCTGGGGTCACAAGTGGCTGGGACTGCTCCTGGAATTGCCATCAGGGGCAGGCCTTGCACAACGCATCCTCACCCGCAGGTGGTTGGAGACTGCAACTAGAATTTGCGATGCAAGATGATGATTGTAGTGCTTGTCGTGCTGTCCCGTCGTGCTGCTCTTCCAGGCGCATGTCATGTTCGGTGTTGCAGACCAGTTGCAGTCTCATCTGCTTTCCAAGCAAGCTTGATCGCCGATATAAGTAAACGTGATAACAGATGACGACGTGGATGACATCTAGTCGTCCCCGCTGTCTGATGCATCATCTTCATCCTCACAGCATGCATTGGGCGAACGGTGCACAGGATCGTAGGATGCTTCAACTGGTGTTAGGCCAGTGACTCTGCCAGGCTGTGACAGGCTGGCTTCGTGATTTTTAGCAGTTTTTGTAGGCATCGGTCGACGTGGCTTCAGAGCTCAGAACACCCGTTCGAAGAAGCATTTTAATTTGTACTTAAGATGCCAAGCAGTACCAACACCAAGTTTATGGTCCCACAGAGGTCCTGGCAGTGGTGCGCTGAAACATGCCGTGTTACATATATTCCAGAAGATAAGGGGCTTATACAAGGGGTTTGGGGGGTATATTACAAAATAGTTATAACAAGGAACTCCCAACATGGTTTTGGTAAATATGGGTGTCCCTATTTTACCAGCTTAGTGGTTGTTGAATCCGGTCCTTGTCTTCCTTTTTGTCGGAATTCTTCGGCTTCTCATCGGCAGGCTCCTTGCAGGCTGAGTGGTGCTTGATGCTACCACTACTTAAAGGATCATGGGACTTAGTAATTGGGGTTGTAAGTAAAGTAACTACAGTTATAATTACTTATACCCCCAATTACGGTACTTATATCCCGACTTACTAAGTAAACATCCTCAACCAAGCAAATACAGATCCCACAACAACCCCGGAATCTGCAGCCACAACATGAAATCGCGCTGGTTGAACTCCAAACTCCAAGCATTCTCAGGTCACCAGCACAAGGACAACTTCCGGATTTGGGAAGGCATTCCCGAGCTGTACGCTTAATTGATGCATGTGAAGTGCCATTCGACACCGATCCCGCTCACAAAGCTGCACCACAAGCTCAAAACTTGACTCTTTCATGCAACTTTGAGGCCGCCCCACAACGAAACCCGAACTTCAACCCCCGATCACCGACCTGAACCACCATTTCAGGGGTCCTTATTGTGATTTCCCTATATGGCCCCTTAAAAAGGTAAGTTATTTGGGGCTAAGCTAAGCCCTACCCATAGGCGGGGGTAGTTCCTTTTTGGGGTTCATATATAGAATATTATAGGGTAATCCCGAAAAGGAACAACTTTGGGGCCTTGGGGTAATCAGAAGCCACCTTACCCTGAATCCTACTGTTGATGATATAAATCCTGCATTACCTTAAAGACCCTAAACTGTGTGAATTATGGGATATTCCTTATTATGGGTTATGCATTACCCATAATAAGGAATATACCATAATTCCCATAGTTCAGGGTCCTTATGATAATGCAGGGTTTATATCATCAACCGTAGGACGCCCTCTGTGTTTGTTCATCTTGAGCGGGCAGGCGGCCCAGACCCCTGCAAACTAGGAACCATTTAGGACCCTAAATAGTAGATCCTTATTTTAAGGATCCCAAACTTAAGGTACCCCTAATTTCCGGAAACTCCCAATTGTGTAGGGCTTTATGAGACATGTCGGAATACAGCTCCTCATCCGACTGATCGTCGTCTCTTTTTGCGTCCTTAGCAGACTTCTGTTGTCGTTCCTGTCGCAGCTTTCGCCAGTCATCTTCCGAAGCCCTAAAATCCCTCAGCCAGCACAATCGATTACAACGGATTGCTGGGTTTCCCTGAGAGCCAAGGTATCGTACGCAGTAGGGTGCTGGGTGATGGGTGCTTTAATTACACTGTGATTTGGGCATTTCCGAAAATAGGGGGACCCTAGTATAGGACCCTAAATTGTAGGATCCTTATTATAAGGATCCCAAGTAAAGGTACCCCCAAATTTCCGGAAACTCCCATTTGTGTAGGGTTTTATGCCCAGAGACTCCAATACCCCTTAATTGAGGAATATTCCTTAAATCATTTCAGGGATCCTACTATAAGTTAAGGTATATTCCTTAATTAAGGGATATTGGAAGCTCTGGGTGAACAGTAACACAATACCTGTGGGGACCGGCGCTCCTCGAGGTTTTGTCCTAACAACGCTCAACCGACGGAGTGGTGGCCCTTCAATATCACGTAGAAGTAGTTGTAGTAGCAGTAGTAGTAGTTGTTGTTGTGGTAGTAGTAGTTGTAGTAGCAGTAGTAGTAGTTGTTGTAGTAATAGTAGTTGTAGTAGCAGTAGTAGTAGTAGTAGTTGTAGTAGTAGTAGTAGTAGTAGTAGTCGTAGTAGTAGTAGTAGTAGTAGTAGCAGTAGTAGTAGTGGTAGTAGTAGTAGTAGTAGTAGTAGTAGTGGTAGTGGTAGTGGTAGTGGTAGTGGTAGTGGTAGTGGTAGTAGTAGTAGTAGTAGTAGTAGTAGTAGTAGTCGTAGCATAACCTAACACGAGAGCATAGAACTGAAGCAAAGAGACTGGTGTTGAGGTCTATTCCTGTGTATCTGCGTCTGTCTATTCAGGCGAAGAGACGCTGACATTTCTCTAGCTATCTATGTATCTGCTTACCTACCTATTCATCTGTTTATCTCTCTCTATCTATGTTTTTTACACATATAAATGCATCTGTAAATATGTGTATTTGTGTATATACATATATATATATATATATATATATTTAGATATAGCTAAGTGTGTGTGTGTGGGCATATGTATATATATATATATATGTATACACACACATGCATGCATGCATGCATGCATGCATGTATGTATGTATGTATGTATGTACATGCACACAGATTTGTATACATGCACACCTACATACCTACCTACCTTCCTAACTACATACATACACAGGCTTATAACAACCGCGAAGCGTTAAGATTATTCCGACCCCTATTAAACCCCTGCGTTCTCCTCTCCGTCGTCCTTCTTGCCGTCCTTTCCCTGGCAAGTAGATGTCTGAAGAATCTGAAACACACCCCGATCTCCCCATTTATGGGCTAGTAGGGTCAGGATACTTCAGCAGGCACAGGAAGTTTTCCTTCCAGGCGGTGAATCCTTGCGCAGGGGAATCTGGTCGTCCTTCGAACCACTGTCATTAGCCAGTTCGGTACTGCTCTTGTAGTGCAAGCCTTTCGGGGCTATGGGCGCAAAGAATTGTCGGGCACTAGCGCGCATTGGCAGAAGTCACATGAAAGATGCAAGCTCCAGCAGCACAAAACGCCTCGTTTTGCACCTCTTCGAACATGTCGTGCTTCCAACCTGGCACCCAAAAACAACTTCACAAGATCGGACCGGACCCTGTCTCAGTCTTCGGCACTCTATCACATACATGGTCCTTGATGATTAGAACACGGTTGTGCTGGGTATACGATTTCATGAGTATATCGAGACTAGAACGGGATACCCTTGCTGACCCCTACATTGTCTGTTTCTCCGTCTCTCTCTGCTGGCAAAGAAGCGGCCTACAGATCTGCAGTTTAGACTAACAGTGACAGGAGCAAGCATGCTCCAAGCTAGTTCTTGACTTGTATTCTCCGCATAGAATGTAATTCGAACGCTGGTAGCTCTTGTCAGGCTAGACATAGAAACAGCACAGCAAGAGGCTTCTCTGCGTCCCGGCACCTATCCTCTGACAGCCACATGGAAACATGCCACAAAAGACAGTCTGGCGATCCGCCACGCCGCCGTGACTGCGGTGCCTCCTGACAAGCGATTCTGGAAGGTCCTTCGATACATGAGATTTGAATGGTTTAGGGTTTACAGGGGCTTGCGCATTCCCGGTTTACCCATGCCGAGGGTGGAAGAAATTGTGCGCGAATCTGGCGACTTTACTTCTGACTAAGCCCGCAGCTCTGCACATGTCCCTGCGACGCAAATGTTTCAACACCGCCACGTGCCAGGGAAAGCAGGAGCTCAGCCAATGCTGGCACAGGCATGGTTGGAGCAAAATAGAACAGCCCTTCATGAAAGCTGGAGCCCTGAATCATGCACACGAAACTGCACAGCTCTACCGAGGACCGCACACCCTGACGATCGTCGTGGTCGCTGTACCTGTGCTGCGACATCATCAACTTCCAAAGCACAGTATGCGTGGCATGGCATATCATGGCAACCAACCAGATAGTTGCAGGCGCATCGTCTTCCCGTGGTTGTGCCCATGCGCTGCGCATGCACAAAATGCAGGTGGCATTGAGCTTTGCAGTCCCAGTCTCAGATGCTATTTGTGCCTGTTGCACACTGAGGGATGGCCCCGTTTTGGGAAGGCACTGCCCAGAGACTCCAATATCCCTTAATTAAGGAATATACCTTAACTTATAGTAGGATCCCTGAAATGAGTTAAGGAATATACCTTAAATTAAAGTAGGATCCCTACAATGATTTAAGGAATATAATTATAGTAGGATCCCTAAAATGATTTAAGGAATATTCCTTAATTAAGGGATATTGAAGGCACTGCCCCGGAGCCTGTGAGCTGGTGGTTGTCACGGCTGAGGGGAAGGGGCTGGGCTGGGAACTCTGACTCTGACCAACATCTTACCTTTGGTTAGTAGGGAATGGAAGAATGGGGCCTACAAGGGTTACTATAAGGGATCTATAAGGGTACTATAATATAGGGGCCTTAATAATTATCTTATAATCTTACCATTGGTTAGTAGTGAATGGAAGAATGGTAGTAATAGTAGTTATAATTCTACCCCATTCCTCCAATCCCTACTAACCAAAGGTAAGACATGATCCAGGACTTGTCTGGCCCCGGCTGCGAGAGTCTGTGGAGGCTGGGGCGCACTGTTTGTTTCGTCATGTGGGAGCTTCCGTCCCCTATAGTACCCTAAATAGTAGGACCCTTATTATAAAGACCCCCAAACAGGGTACCCTTAATTTTCGGAAAGTCTCATGTGGTGTTCGGGTTCCGCGAATTTTAGCAACTCGATGCGCCTAAACCCTAAACCCTATAAACCCTGAACCACAACCCAAGAACATGGCAGGTACCCATACCCAGGCGACGAAAGCAAGGACATCACTGGTGTACGAATACAGTGTCTGCAAGGCGGTTCAAACTACCGTATTCTAGGCTCCCACTAGATGAGTGGAATCATATTTCAAAATTCTGGGTTGGGGATTTCGGGTACGATAGTCATGGCTACATTGCTTGCAACCAAACTCCAATGTGCGGCATGAGCCTACGACCCCTGAGAGTAACCCCTACCGAAACCCAAGAGAACCCATAAAGAACTACACTCAATACCCTAAACCCTAAACCGAATAGAAAAAGTTCCACCGGGCGCACCACTGCATCCGTCCACGGCCCCCGGTCTTCTCCGCTTCCAAATCCAAATTCCTGGCGTGGCGCAGTTTGAAGGGTTTTAGGGTGTTTAGTGTTTTAGAGTTTAGGCTTCAGGGTTTAACCCCACGACCTGAAGCACTCAACCTTACCTTTCCAGCTCCGTGTGGACTTCACGGGCTGTAGGCCAAGAATGTACTTCTGATGGGCATGCTGCCGCTGGATATAGTAAGTTTAGGAAGTAGTGCCCTCGATGAGTCGGAAGTCGCATTTGACCATACTCATACGTATGATTACCCCCCCCCCCCCTACTTGAGAATATCCGGGGTCCCCCGTATCACACTGTGGCTCTTGGACGTGGCAATAGTGCCGTAAGAAAGAGAATGAGGTTTATGCAGTTCCGGAACAGCTACAATCCGGGACTACACGGGAGTAGTGTTACTCATGAATCAGCGCAGGTGTCCGGAGGAATGAATGCAGTGAGGTCAGGAATAGAGACCACCAACAATGCAGTTTTAGCGGGGTTATAACTGGGGTAACTTTGCCTATAACCCAAATTAAGGGACTGACAACAGGCTCGCAGACATGCCTTTCTACCCGCATTTGAGGTGTGGTTTTTGGCAGTAAGGGGCCGCCGCACTTGTACATTTGGGCACTTAAGCTTTCGGCTGTCCAGGTTCAAAAGTGTTAGGATGCTTTCGGGACTCAGGGTCTGGTGTCTCCCGCGCTTCTAAGTCTAGGGGACCTGCTTGGGAAGGGATCTCTGGCTTGCGCCGTGTGGCTTTTGGGTTCTAGGGTCATTTCCGGGTTGAAGGTGCAGGGAATATGGGAGCAAAAGGGACGAAGAGAGCATTCATCCCTTCGCGGGGGTCAGGTCATGTCAGGTCAATGCGACGTGTTTCTCCTTGCTTCGGCCTGATGTATCAGTCTACGAGATTTAGGTAGAACAAAGCAAGTGCCTCGCGCTTCGTGGATCCCACTCAGGGCGATTGCCTGCTAGCAACATGACGGCTTGCAGGTTGCTTTGGATGCTTATGGCATCTCACATGCCAAGACCCTTATGCAACCCTTGCAGCGACCCCTGTGTGACCCGTGTAGTTAGTAAGTACCCTTGCAATAACCACGATTAAGCCATCAACCTGCAGCGTCAGAACTAGGTCAAATAGCTCCGTGTTTTCGAAGGTGCTCGCGATCACTTCTGGCAGGGTTTCGGGCTTAGAGTGTGGATCAGGATTGACAGATTGCTGGATGCAATGTTTCTGAGGCCGAGGATCCGGATGAGCGTGAGTGAGATGCCTTGCAAACTGGGGCAGGTAGGTAGGCTCTTGTCGAGCTGGGTCTACCTATTGCCTGGACAGACTTCCAAGACACCCATCCAGGATGGGGAATTGCACACCAGAGCATGACAGAAGTGTGCCTAAGTTCCGAAAATCATACGAATCGGAACATCCTGAACCACGGTCGTGGCCTTGAAACACTGATAGCAACAGCTCTGATCTGTTCTTCTTGTTGAATGTCTGCATTGCTAATATGATATGGCACTTCCGAAATGATACCAATAACTACTTGCACTCTGTTTGTAATTTCATGATAAGTACTTTATCGTCGCTGTTGCTATTCCTGCTTGTGTTCTTCCCATCACAGGTGCTTTTTCAATCCCCAGTTTTGCCTTTGCCCTTGCCTTTCTCATCACGACCTTGGCAGAAGGGGGACCGGTTGTAAAGGGGCTTGGTCTTGCGGTCCCAACTTTTGCGTCATTTCCGGGCTTAGGGCCACCAATAATATTAACACTAGTAATAATAATAATAATAATAATAATAATAATAATATAAAAGGGTTTCATGTATGTTCTGACATATTCTGATATGATTGATGTGGTTATGAAGGGGATACAGAGGTTCTGTTTCAAGAGCTCGGAGTTCGGGTTTCTTGGCTCACTCTCGGACAACCCAGGCGAGGCATGTGCCTGTGAAAAGTATAAAAACTGGCTTGCACACAACACTCGCCCGAACCATATAGATGTCACAATCTACTAAGCCAGCAGCCTCGAAGCCTCAATCCAGCCTGTCTTCGATCCCAAATTCAGTGCAAGCTATGGCATGCTCAGCCTGCTACATGCAAGAAGCACCTCCCCAAACCCTAAACTCCAAAGCCGGAGCGCTACAGCTTCGATCCCGATTTCGTTGACAGCTTCTGAGGTTATGAAACCAGAAGAAACCCAAGGACTCAAACATCCCTGCACGCATCCCTTCATGAAGGGCCAGTGCCACAGATCCTGCTTACAACTTGATGAGTATTTATTCACAAGGGGTTTCGGCAGCCATTGAGCACTGCGACCCCTGTCCTTTTCAAGCCTTACTCCCCGACGCCTTGACATGAAGCCTCTGCTGGATTCATACAGGCAGGAACAACAGCAGGGTATCTGCAACATGTACGTGCCTCACACAAGGATAGCAAAATGTTTGCATGGTCCTACTTCGTATACCCGAAACTTGAAGCTACAAAGCATCTAAATCCCTACACTTCGTCCCAAAACCAGAACCCCAAACAAGCAACGGGCGTGTTTAATCAATAAGGTACTTGCAGAAACCGAGTTCCGCCCAGAACCGTTTTTCCTCTCTTGCGGGCTTCTGCTTAGTTGGCACTGCAGGGCTGTAGACTTTGAGGCTGTGCCAGATCCCAAAGAGTGGATTTCAAGATGAAGCTGCAACCCTACGTCGTCGCCGTAACGACTACAACAGCCTGAAGCGATGCCGGCGATAGGCATGGTGCGGCTCTAGCATGCAGTTAATATGCTTCTCAGTGCGAAAACGGCGAGCATATTCCTTGCGTTCATGGGCAATGGGGCAGGTAGAGATGTGATAACGTTGTCGGTGGCGGTGACGAGGATGATTCTGGTAATGGCGATGGTGCTAACGAGGGTAAAAAACTGCTGTTTTTGCTATAAAGAAGCAATGAGAAAGATGGCGGCGACGATAACGAACATGCCAAAGCTTCTTTTTGAGATTGACCTTGCTGCTTATAAGCAGGCGATGAGAGAGGTGGCGGTGATGATAAGGGACATGCCACAGCTAACTTGCGAGGTTGAACACCGAAGAGTACGACGCCAGAGTCGAAGGACGGGATGATAGCGAACACAGTCAGGACGTCGACGACGAAGGAGATTTGCGAGCGCGCTGGGATTTAGCGAAAAGGTTCGTCAGAATGGCAATGACCAGGGTGGTTGCGATGATGCCGGTGAGGCTCTTGGTGCTGGACTTGCTACTAACGATGGTCGCATCATGCTCTCACAATGGTAAAGCAGGTGAAGATGCTTCAGTTCAATGTCCACTCGTATGTTTTAGTGTGTGTGTGTGACTAAGTCCACGTTAGTTCTAGCAATGCTGATGTCTTTTTCTGCGACATCTGTGGCTGCTAGTGCTGCTGCTGATGATGATGTTTCCGTTGGCATAGATGAGGCAGTGGTGACGACAGGGATGAAGCGGTTATCTTGATGGAACACGCAGGCGCATAGCGCCCGCAATCAGTCATGGAATGTTGCTTTGCAGATATAGTTTGCCGTGCCAGTAACACAGGTTAACTCGGAGTCAGACCGACTGTTGGATCTGACGCTGCCCCAGCACTTAAGCCATAAGTGATGAAATCATTGTCCCAGTGATGGGAGCAAGAGATCCTGCTACCTGTTACAGAAATCCGTTCTGGGGTTAGACTCAAGTCTTGGCATGCATGCATATACATGTAACGCAGCTGAATGGTGGCACCTTGCTGCTGCTCCAATAGCACGGGCACTGGAATGCAAGCTTGCAGGTGCTGGGTTCTTAGCTTCATAGATCTTCACAAATCTTGCAAATACTTAGCTCCAGGGAGACTTTCATTTGCATGGCAAGACCGAGTCAGATGGATTTCCGCCTAGTTCATCCACGGGATTGGTGCTTATGGCCCTGCAACCTTGCAGGCTGCTTGTTCCGAACCGGTGGCGTGCTCAAAGTATGTGTAGGCAACAATGCATGCAGAAGGCTGCTTTATAACATGGCAATGAAATCGATTTCCTCCCATGTAAGGAAGCGGGCGCATTCGAGTCCCAAGCCTATTCGACGGCTTGGTTAATGATCGCCTTCACTCGACCTTCCATTTCATGGACCATCGGTTGCAAAGGCTTCACGCACTTTTGGAGGCCTGGCCAGAACTGAGACATGTGGTTTAAGGTTTAGGGTTTAGGGGCATTAACACGTTTACAAAGCTGCTGGCGGAAATCCTGTTTTGATGCTGGGCAGCAGCAAACCCGGTTGGCTACTCTAAGTGCACGTCAGCTGCGTCAGTTGCACCATACCCACCACGGAAGAAGGTGTTTTGGTCCCTGGACCTCTTACATAATCCTCAGCAGGATTCGGCTGAGGAGCTTCTCTTTCTCCAGGCTTCCCACAGTTTCATTCTACATCGGGTGACAAACCAAATCTCGGCGGCTCTTCTGTGCGGGGATTAGAACCGATCTCAAAGGCAGGAAACTGTGGAACCTGCGCAGGGAAGTTCTAGATTCGCGAGGCTCGGAGGATCCTTAACATCACCACCGGTTTAGGGTTTAGGGTTTATAGGGTTTAGGGTTCAGGGGTTTTGGGTTTAGCTATACTCTTGGCTTAAAGTAGCCGCCGTGCCAACTCCTACGAAACCCGTCAAGACATCCGCAAAGCCGCAAAGCCATACAACATGTCAAGCTACTTGAAGACGTAATTGCTGAGTTCATAAGCCCCAAAAAGAGTACACTTTTAGTTTTATGGTGGGTAAGACTATCCCAAAAAGTGTAAAGTGTATCCACTCAGCTACTAAGGAGAAACCTCAACTGTAGGCCACAGAACAGGGAACCCTAAACCCTAAACCCCTGAACCCTCGCCCTGACCCTTAGAGTTCTTGTGCGCGCACAGAAAACCAGAGACTCCAATATCCCTTAATTAAGGAATATACCATGAATTATAGTAGGATCCCCAATATGAGTTAAGGTATATTCCTTAATTAATGGATATAGGAGTCTCTGGGAACCTCAGGTTGCGAGTTCCAAGGCCGCCGGTGCCTTCCTCAAAGTCCCGCTGCAGCTTTTCCCTGTCGACGGCGCCCTCAGCGCGCTCCATCTGGGGAGCAAGCTTCTGCTTCACCTTAGGGCATTTAAAAGGCTTCCTTCAGCTAAGGGTTCCTTCAGGGTTCGTCTATGGGATTCGTGCGGGTTCAGATTGAGGGCTTTGAGGATTGGTTTTTTAGGGTTTTGGGGGTTTGGGGGATCTATAAGGGTTTTGGAAAGACTTTAAGGGGGATCTATAAGGGTTCCTTAAACTCATAAGAGTTTATCATAGTTGTTGGCTTTGGCGGCTTAAGGGTTCGGGATTTCCGGGTCTGCAATGATTAGTTGCGGCGGTGCAAAAGGAACGACGCGCACTCCTCCTTTCACCCAGGGAACTTTGCTTAAGCAAACAAGACGACCATGTATTCCTGAGCATATCCACTTCCCGGCGGAGGGCATTGCAGGCGTTAGATGACTGAGTATGCCCGCCTCGTATCCACGCTGAATACTTACACTGCTTTCCCCTGCAAGACTGAACAGAATATCTTATATGTATCTATGTCTGTAACTACACATAACTGTCTATGACTATCATTTGATTCTTCTGAATACTGTCGCCTGGAGGGCAGTGCTACCTACCTTAATTACTCGCGTCAAGGCGGCCACTGCAACAAGGACTGATACTACTGTGCAACTCTGAGTAGTGTCACTGTAACTGTATGACTCTGTAATACCAGAGACATCATCATACCGACGCCCCTAAACGAAGCCGACCCTCAGGAACCCAGAAACACGTGTTTTCACTAGCGATCCGACCTCCCAGTCTGCCCCAAGACTGCGAAAGCCCGCAGAACCTACCCATAGGCCCATAGTAGTTCCTTTTGGGGGTTCATATAGAGAATATTATAGGGTAATCCCAAAAAAGAACTACTTTGGGGCCTTGGGGTAAACCCTAAATCCCTTATTCCGAGAAAGAGGTCAGGACAGACCGGAAGACCTTCTGAAGGACTGGAGTCCCACAGGTCCTCTCACTATCCACCAGGTTTGTCGTTGGCACTAGCCCTGTTATAATGATAATATAAGAGGGTCCCAACATAGTACGTATTAAGGCCCTAAACCCTAAACCCCCTACATTAAGCCCTAAACTAAACCCTAGCATGCCGTTAGACTCTACGCCCGATCAGCTTACTCTTGCTCTTCAGCGTCCAGTGCAGGCAGCGTGCGCTTTCTTCACAGGTCTTTAGACGCCCAATGACACCTGACGTTTTAGAGGAATGGTCGGAGCTGCGTTTGAGTTCTAATCCGGAGTCCGCTGAACAACGGCTACGAGACCCCAGCAGCCGCTACAAAACTAACGAGACTGCAAGGACATGTGAGAGGATGGTGTTCCACACTTTCAGGTCGACCTGCAACATTGTAATGACACAAGCTGCAGTTCAAACTCGGAGCCATATTGCATGCATTCCCCGAACCCAGGGCCTTGTTGGGGTCAGCCTACAAAAGCCCGAGCCGGAAACTACCCACACACAAAACATGGGTGCTGATGCTGTGGATTGACATCCACAATTTCCCCTCCCCCCCTTCACCCCGCTCTCTCTGCATATTAATATGTTTATTACCGTTAGTACTACCATTACATCTATGTA